AGCTTTCATAGTGTTTTGTCCAATTACTTGGAATGGAAACAACAACAAGACTTAAACCGAAAGAAAGACAGACATTGAAATAGCAAATCGGCAGCGGAGTGATGGACGAGACGATGACGTTTTGCTTCATTCTTGATCGAAGGAAGAGAAGCAGCAAAACGGCAGCGGATAGGTAAGTGTACACGGTGACGTTTTGCTGATCTGCATGTCTTGGAAAAAGAAGGGATGATCCGGTGACGTTTGATGGTGTCGACGGTTGGGATTTGAAAATGATCAAAGATCATTCTCTGTTACCCCCCCCCCCCCCCCCCCCCCCCCCCCTCGCACGCTGGTGGGCAGAGATTCTGCACACCAAGCTTGGAGAGTAGTGTAGAAAATGGAGCTGGAGAGAGGGGCTTTGTGAACAAGTATGCAAGCTGATGGTTGGTGCGGACATGGAGAAGCTTGACTATGCCAGACTGAATCTTCTCTCGAACAAGATGGCAATCGAGCTCGATATGTTTCGTCCTTTCATGGAAGGTTGGGTTCTGCGCAATGCAAATTGCGCTCTGATTGTCACAAAAAAGAGTAGCTGGTTGGTGATGAGTGATCTGGAAATCTTGGAGGAGATAAAGTAACCACTGGAGCTCACAGGTGGTGAAGGCAAGCCCGCGATACTCTGCTTCACAAGAAGAGCGGGAGGCTGTCTGTTGTTTCTTGCTCTTCCATGAAATCAAAGAATCACCGAGGTAGTTGCAGTAACCAGTAATGGATCGGCGTGTGTCAACACAGGCCGCCCAATCTGAATCAGAGGGACCCTTGATGTGAAAAGTGCCAGCAGAGGGGAAGAACAAACCAGATGCATGAGCGGCTTTCAGATACCTCAGAATCCTGGTAACTGCTTTGTAATGAGGTGTGCTAGGATTAGCCATGAATTGACTCACTTGTTGTGTGGCAAAGCTTATGTCGGGTCTTGTAGTAGTCAAATAGATCAACTTTCCCACAAGAGTGCGATAAAGCTCTGGATTAGGATAGGGTTATGTGCATTCTTCACTGAGATGTATTTTATAGTCCATTGGAGTAGAAACAGGCTTTGAATCCAACAAATCTGCTTCTTGTAAGATTTCCAGAGTATATTTCCTCTGAGATATAGGAATTCCTTTGTTGTTGCGAGCCACTGCAATACCTAAGAAGAATCTCAATACCCCCCAAATCCTTGATACTGAATGCTGAATGTAGAATGTCTTTCAAATGCTGGATTTCAGACAGATCATTCCCACCAAGAACTAAGTCATCAACATAAATCAGTATACAAGTATATGACGAATCTGTGACCTTGTAAAATAGAGATGGATCAGCCTTACTAGCAGAATAGCCTTGTTGAATGAGAGTATCAGTGAGTTTGGAGAACCACTGTCTAGAGGCTTATTTTAAGCCATAGAGAGACTTCTTAAGACGACAAACAGGGTCTTTAAAACCAAGTGGTGGAGAGTAACCCTTAGGGAGAGCCATGTAAACCTCTTCTTCAAGCTCACCATGAAGAAAGGCATTGTTAACATCTAGTTGATGTGTATGCCAATTCCTCATGGCTGCAACTGCTAAGAAAGTTCTTACAGTTGTCATTTTGATAACTGGGGCAAAAGTATCCTGGTAATCCACACCCTCCTGTTGTGTGTTACCCTTTGCCACTAATCTAGCTCTGAATCTGTCTAGAGAACCATCAGAAAGAACCTTGATTTTATAAACCCATTTGTTGCCTATCAGTTTCTTCCCAATAGGTCTCCTAACAATATCCCATGTTTGGTTCTTGATCAATGCTTTGACCTCATGAGTCATGGCAGCTGACCATTGAGGGGACTGAGATGCTTCTTTATAGGTATTTGGTTCTTTGTAGGAAGAAATGTTTAGAATGAAAGATTTGTAATGAGGAGCAAGGTTGTCATAGGAGAGAACAGTGGAAAGAGCATACCTTGTGTTGTGAATCTGAGTCAGAGTTGATTGATTGGCCTTGCTAGACTGATGATAAAGATAACAATGGTAGTCGTGAAGAAGGTGAGCAGGTTTATTGGATTGTCCGTCTGATTTTCTGGTGGGGATGGGTTGGGTAACTGGGGATGGTGGAGGTGAAGGAATTGGATTGGGGGAGGATGATTGAGGTGATGATGGTTCTATGGAAGTAGTGGAAGAAGAAGGAGGAGTGGAAGTAGGTAAAGGAGGATCAGAAGGTGGTATTGGTGTTAGGGTAGGAGAAGAAGGTGGGTCGTCAGAAATGGGGTATGATGTTGTTGGTAAGGGATAAAGGTTGTCACTGGAAGGTGAAGGAGGAGAGTCCAGATTGAGAGTTTTAAAAGGGAAATGGGATTCATAAAAAATCACATCCCTGGAGACAAATATGTCATGGTTGACCAGGTCATAGACCTTGTAACCTTTGATCCCATGCACATAGCCTAAGAAAACACCTTTCCTGGCTCTAGGTTGGAATTTGGACCCGTGATTTGCAAGGGTGCTAGTAAAGAGTTTGGTTTTCTAGGACAGAAGATGGGACTCTATTTATGAGATAGATAGCATGTTTGATGCAATCACCCAAAAAACCAGCTGGCAAATCAGCTTGGAATCTGAGTGCTCTTGCAACTGTAAGGATATGTTGATGCTTGCGCTCAACCTTGCTGTTCTGTTGAGGAGTCTCAACGCAAGACATCTCATGAATGATTCCATTGGAATCATAATAGTCCTCCATCTGAAATTCCTTCCCTTGATCACTACGGATTCTTTTGATAGGGAAGTTAAATTATTTTTGCATTCTGTTGCAGAATGTTATAAGCTGAGGTCTGGCTTCAGATTTTAAGTGTAACAAAACAATCCAAGTCATGCGAGTGAATCATCAACAATGGTGAGAAAATATCTATAACCATCATAACTTGGAATTGGGTTTGGTCCCCAAATGTCGACATGTAAAAGTTCAAAAGGTAAACTGGTAACATTCTGACTTGTAGGAAAAGGAAGTCTCCTTTGCTCAGCAAAGTAATAGACATCACAGGGAAGCTCTTTGTGAGTTTGAATGGAGGTACAAAATTGGGAGAGGTAAGGGATTTTGGAATGGGACAGATGCCCTAATCGAAAATTCCAAATGTCAAAAGGAACAGAAGTGGCTGTTGTGATGTGTTTAGGTATAGTATATGCTTCTAGGTAGTATAGACCATTGCTCAATCTAGCAGAACCAATCATTCTCCTCTACTCCAAATCCTGTATGACACAAAGGTTAGAAGAAAAAGTCAAGGATAATGAGTTTCTGGTGGTCAACTTGCTCACAGAAACTAGATTGAAGGTAAAATGAGGTATGTACAAAACATCCTCCAGAATGAGAAGATCATTGCAGACTGCTTTTCCAATGTGAGTGGCTTGGATTTGTTGACCAGTTGGTAATGTGATGTAAACATTGCTCAAGGGCTTGTGATCAGTGAGATGAGCTAGAGTGCAGACTACCTGGATTGATCATGCAGAACAGCATTCACAGTAGGTGATGAGAGTAGGCATTTACCTGGTGTGTTTCTGTTTGTAACAAAAGCAGCTGCTAAATATGATGGAGATTTCTGAGTAGCCATGAGACTCATGAGTCTATCATAATCTGATTTTGTCAACTTAACCACTTCTTCATCCTCCCCTGAGACTGCATTGGCTGAATGCCTGCCCCTATCAACACCAGAATTACCAGCTCGAGGTATGTAACCAGGAGGAAAACCATGTTTGTGAAAACATTTGTCTTCTGTATACCGTGGCTTCTTACAAAAAGTGCATTAAAATATCTTGCCCTGTTGAGGGGATGGCCTAGATGTGTTCATGCCTTGAGGATACCCATGTTTTTGGTAACATGTATCTTCAGTATGACCATCTCTCCTACAATAGGTACAATATGGTCTTCTGTTGGTAGAATTAGGTCTCCTAGTTGTACCAGGAACTGCTAGAGCAGTAGAGTCTGAAGTTGCAGAAGCAACCATTTTGCCTCTTTGGGTTCCATACATTTGCCTCTCATGCTGTAACATCCTTTGAAAAACACGATTTATGTTTGGAAGTTCATCACCAAACAACACTTGAGACCTCACAGCAGAGAAATTTTCATTCAACCCTCGTAAGAACTTGATCACATAATCTGTTTCCTGATACTCATAGACTCGACGCCTAGCTAAGCAATCAATGTGACTGGTAGGTGTACAAGTGCAGGGAATCAAAGGCTGATAGTTTTCAAGTTCATCTCTGTAAGTGATAACTTGGCCATAGTACTCAGTGATAGTTTGATTACCTTGCTTCAAGATAGACAAAGCTTCTTCTAGCTCAGCAACCCTGACAATATCACCTGAACCATAGCGTGTTTGAAGACTCTTCCATGCTTCTGGGGCAGATTTGCTTGAGAGAATGGTTTTGCAGATCTCATATTCAACTGACTGCTGGATCCAACTGAGGATCATGACATTGTTGCGAGTCCAAGCACCCCTTCGTGGATCTGTGGCAGCTGGCTCGACCAAGGTTCCATTGATGAAACCAAGTTTGTTTTTGGCAGCTAGAGCGTTGAGCATAGCCCTGCTCCAGTCATTGTAGTTGGTGGTATTGAGTTTCTCTCCCACCAACAGAGAACCTGGTTGCTCTGAACCATGGAGGAAATATGGATTTTCGAGAGCGTAGTTTGCTTGTGGCTGAGGAGGAGCATTCTGTGCAACAGCTTCTTCATTTTGTTGATCATCTGCGGCATTTTGATCAGCAGGTTGGGCCTCCATTGTTGCGGCGGCTAGGGTTTAAAGGGCTCTGATACCATAACAACAAATGTGGTTTGGAAACCCTAGAATCACTTGATTCTTCTCATTGATCAAACATCTGCTTATATAGTACAGATCAAGGTGCTACAAGACAAGCTTCTTAGCTGCCATAGTTTTCTGTCCTATTACTTGGAATGGAAACAACAACAAGACTTAAACCGAAAGAAAGACAGACATTCAAATAGCAACACGGCAGCGGAGTGATGGAAGAGACGATGACGTTTTGCTTCATTCTTGATCGAAGGAAGAGAAGCAGCAAAACGGCAGCGGATAGGTAAGTGGACACGGTGACGTTTTGCTGATCTGCAGGTCTTGGAAAAAAAGGGATGATCCGGTAACGTTTGATGGTGTCGACTGTTGGGATTTGAAAATGATCAAATATCATTCTCTGTTATAGGCCATGTCGATATAGCGAAACATCAATAACCATGACAAAACCTCGTACCGGTGTCAAACCTCACGTAACAATCCTTAAGCGCCAGCCAGCCTCCGATCGCGTACGGACACTCGGTGTCGACGACCCGGTACTGAGCGTTGTAGAGACACCGCTGGCAGCCCTTGGGGGTGAGCAAGGCGGAGCAATTCGCGGCGGCGAAGACCTTCGAACCGTTGGCGCATGCGCACCGGTTGGGTAACTTGTAGCCCACGAAACGGATCGCGGAGTCGATGGACATCAGTGCCTGGCTCCTCGTCTCGCCGGTGCCGTCTGTGTTCTTGCGGCATCCGGAGGCGATCTTGTCTACGTTGTAACCCTTTACGACGAGAATGCCGTCGCTAAAGATGAGCAGCGTCGCGATGAGGACGGCGGAGAGTGGAGTCGTCGTGAGGATGTTGATCTTCTTCATGGTTATTATTACTTGGCTGGTTAATTATACGATTGGGAGTGGGGAATAATGGATTGAGTTTGGTGATGGTGATGATCGGTTAAATGGATTTCGACTTGTGTATTTATATACGGTTCGACCAATGGAAGACAACAACATGATGGTTATGGTGTTCAGTGTTCGGAAATATCTGTTTTGTTTCTAATAATTTTTAATTTCTAATAATTCCCTTGGTATTAACCCGAGACTAGAATAGGCCAATGATAGGGCGCGAAACACATAGACATAGTGAGTTTGTGTTACTTAATATCGATAGATAACATATTTGCAATCATTTCGAGGTTATCTGTTGGTTATGGTACAACTTTACAACTTGAAGTTGTACCGTCACATAAGGTTATAAGTTCAAGTTGTACTATAAAAGAATTTGTACAAAAAGTATAGGTACAATCTGAAGTTGTACCATAACATAAATGTACAATTTTAAGTTGTACAATAAAGATAAAACCCTATAGCACCAATACTATATACCATTGTAAAATTTCTCCTAAAAATGCTTCATGCAAGTTTCAAACTCACGAATTGAAGAAACTTGTAAGCAAATAATATAAAATTCGTTATTAAACATGTCTCTACACCGTCGAATTATAATTAGAACGAATTGATGTTAGTTTGTGAGATGTTCTTTTTAGTGTTCTAGCTGGGAGTCTATAGTCACCGGACTGTTACCTATCTGATTCCCTTGGCCGGCTAGTTTCGTCTTGTATAGTTTCGTCTTGTAAGCAACAGAGCATATATAAATATATATATGAGCACTTTTACTATATTATATAGTATTGGTACTTTAATGTACAACTTAAAGTTGTACCATAACATTAAATGTATAAGTTTAGGTTGTACCATAAAGCAATTTGTACCATTATGTTATGGTACAACTTTACAACTTGAAGTTGTACCATCACATAAAAGTACAAGTTCAAGTTGTACCATAAAAGAATTTGTACAAAAAGTATATGTACAATCTAAAGTTGTACCATAACGTAAATGTACAATTTTAAGTTGTACCATAAAAACAAAATTATATAGCATTGTAAAACTTCTCGTGTATATATATATGTTTTGGATCCAAATTCCCTTGTATAGTTCCGTACGTAATGTAATGCAAGTATGCAACTACTTTTCTGAAGTTATTTCAGATCATATATATATATATACACACGTATGTTATATGGAGTGGCATCTGACATGAAATTCAATTTTGGACGTATTACAATATTTGTAATTGTTTATAGAACTAATTTTGTACTAGTATTAAAATTTCCGAGGTTTAAACGTATTGTACGTAATAAATATTTGCAACCCCGATAATAAATTCTTGAAAAGAACAAGTATTGGCTATATGGAACGTAATTTTATTCAATCCCATGGTAGCTTTTCTAATGAAACTGAACCAAAAACAAGTGGATTTATCGATCAGAAGATGTATAGGAAAAGTCATATCCCATGCAGATTTCGATTACAAGAATGCAACTGATTTCCTATTTGGCAAATGAGTACTAGAGCAAGATTTTATGAGAAAAAGTTCAAATAAGAGAAAGCGTTGTTTAGACTCGGCTCCTCCAACTAGTTATCATGCATCGACAAATTACAACACTAAGATATGGTGATTTTTCTTTGACTGTCGCTATCAGAACAGAAGCGTGGCAATCGATAATTCAAACCAACACGAACGAACACAAATTTAACGTGGTTCACTAACACAATGTGTGCTAGCTAATCCACGGGCAGGGGGAACAAATTTCACTGATTTGAGGAGAGTACAGGTTACAAACCAAATTCCAAACGGACAAACCAAACAAACTAACATGACTGACCCTACTACATACTAGGGTAATGAAGAGTATTTATAGAACTCTTCTCGTAATCCCAAACAGAAAACCAAATACATTTTCCCAAACATACAAGGAAAAGGTCAAACAAAGCCCAAACACAAACCCAAACAGAATAGGCCTAAAACACAAAACAAACCCAAATCAAATTCAAGTCATATTCTAACAATCTCCACCTTGACTTGAATTCTCTCTAAAATACCAGATGTACCAGACGCAACCAAAGTTGCCATATGTACCAAACGCAACCAAAGTTGCCAGATGTACCCAGACGCGATACATATCGCCAGACGTATCCAAATGCGATAAAAACCGCCAAACTCAAACTCAATAAAGATTGCCAGACATATCCAAATGCGATTCATATCGCCAGACCAAACGCGATGCAAATCGCCAAACTCAGATGCAATCAAAATTGTCAGACGTACCAAACTTCTCCAAATCAGCTGTACCAGAATCTCCCCTGCCTCCAAATGCTCCTAAGGGCAATCAACAAATCAAAACATGCAGCAAGTCCAACCCATGTTGGGACTTTCCATGCATAACCAGCTTGGTGTTATTTCCGTCCATAACACCAACATCAAATTTACCTCTAATTCCAAACCTGCAGCTCCAAATTGACTTCACGATCTTCAAATCCAGAACAAACATCCTTGATGATCAGAAACCCTAATCACCACTGAAGGATAACAAACATAATTATCTCCAAACCCTAACCAACCACCTCACCGCAGCTTGGTGACAACCGTTCACAAACGTTCCTTAAACCAAACTTCAACTCAAAAGCAACTAATAAACCCAAATCTGAAGCTCCAATGCCACAAAGCAAACAATGGCCGCTCACAAGCCAATTTTCAATAAAGCTTCACCTGCGTGCTTCCTTCCCCAACTACACGAAGAGCTCTCTTCAAATCCCATAAAAGGCGGCTAATCACAAGTCACAAGTTTGCAATGCGTCGACTTGCTTGTCCAACGCACAAATCCAAATTGGAACCAATAAAACAACAGTCCACCACAAACCAAATTTGGAGGAAGAAAAAGTAAAGGCTTCTCCGCCAACCAAATCGAAGACTGCCCCCTGATACCGCAGCAGTCACCAAAATCCCTAACCGATCGACCAGGCTCTGATACCACTTGTCAGAACAGAAGCTTGGCAATCGATAATCCAAACCAACACGAACGAACACAAATTTAACGTGGTTCACTGACACAATGTGTGCTAGCTAATCCACGGGCAGAGGGAACAGATTTCACTGATTTGAGGAGAGTACAGGTTACAAACCAAATTCCAAACGGACAAACCAAACAAACTAACCTGACTGACCCTACTACATACTAGGGTAATGAAGAGTATTTATAGAACTCTTCTCCTAATCCCAAACAGAAAACCAAATACCTTTTCCCAAACATACAAGGAAAAGGTCAAACAAAGCCCAAACACAAACCCAAACAGAATAGGCCTAAAACACAAAACAAACCCAAATTAAATTCAAGTCATATTCTAACAGTCGCAATTCTCAATTTAGTGTTATGATATTTTCATGTCTGAACATACGGTTAGCACGTTAGTTTAGAATCGATATTCTCATTGACCTAAAGTTGACCAGTTAATGCATTAAATTGATGATTGAGTTATCGTATTAAGTGTCATCCTGATCCAAAGGACTTGCATATTTCCATATGCTAGTAACTCGACCAGTTATTTTCTTAAGTTTTCTATCGTGCAATGGGAAGAGTTTCCTCGACATTCACACACAAAAAAAAGCTTTCAATAAGTGCACAACTATTGATACTTGTTGCGCTGTAAGTATTGAAAGACTATTATTCATTATGAGGAGCACTTCTACTATGCTATATAGTATTGATGCTTTAATGTACAACTCAAAATTGTACCATAACATTAAATGTATAAGTTTAGGTTGTACCATAAAGCAATTTGTATCATTATGTTACGGTACAACTTTACAACTTGAAGTTGTACCATCACATAAAGGTACAAGTTCAAATTGTACCGTAAAAGAATTTGCACAAAAAGTATAGGTACAATCTGAAGTTGTACCATAACGTAAATGTACAATTTTAAGTTGTACCATAAAGACAAAAACCTATAGCACCAATACTATATAGCATTGTAAAATTTCTCCATTATGAGATACGTGAAGAACAGTATTCAAATCAAATGATTGGTGAAAATGAAATTATGAATACTTATTTGATAGATTCGATACACTGAGAGTCTGAGACCGACATATTATATAGTTTGAACATTAAGTCTATACATCATTTTATAAATGAATAAAAAGAATTTAAGAATTATTATTTTAAATTTAAAATCACCTTAAATAAATCCATGCCTACTTGATAAAATAGTTTTTATCGATATGAAGAGTATCAGTATACATAAGCAACGTATTCTCTTTAAGGAGTTGCAACACTCATGTACCATCAAAGATCTCATGAAATGAAATGGGGAAGGAGTTAGAAGTTATAGGCTTGAGGTTTGAACAGCTTGCAAACACTCAGTGTACCACACTGTAGGTCTCGAATAACACTATTCAAATCAAACTTGTATTCAACCTGTGCAAGATTTTAGTTAGAGGAATCGTGTAACGATAAACATATCAATAACCCAAATTATTAAAAGATCGGCAAAATACGAATCTTATATTAATTTCTCTTAATTGTCGAACCAAATGGGATGATCATTCCCATGTACACGGTCGAAATGCAGGACAAAGAGAGAAAAAAGAAAAACAGGATCAAACTTCAATAGCTTCTTTTTTTTTTTTTTAATCTCATCATACCATACATTTATAGCATGCCATATTGGTCTAGCGATGATACGTATAATACGATTTTGATGGACACGTCACAACCGTCCCTCAATACGTTTAACCCGGACAAAATAAGGTGTCTACAGAAACTCTCACCGACCGCAAAACAACGACTCGCGGGCATACCTCACGTAGCAATCCGCAAGTTTGAGCCAGGCTCCGTAGTAACTCGGGCAGTAGGTGTCGACCACCCGGTACTGGGCGTTATAGAGACAGCTCTTGCAGTCTTCTTGGCTCAGCGTGAGGGTACAATTCGCGGCGGCGAAGAATTCCGAATCGAGATTGTACGTGCACTTGTTGGGATGCCCTCCGGCTACGGCGGCAATGGCACAATCGATCGATTTCAAGGTCTCGTTCTTCAAGGCCTGGTCATCGTACTTGCCGGCATCCTCATCACAGCGGTGGTCGATCTCGTTGTTGTTGTAATCGCCTGTGGCGACGACGAGGGAGATGCCGTCGCTAAAGATGAGCAAGGCTATAAGGACGAGTAGTGAAGTGGTGAGGAAGTTGGTCTTCTTCATGGTTTTGTTATGTTTGTTTTGAAGGGAATTGAGTTTTGGTACTCTGATGATGGACTTGCTGGATTCTCAACTTGTGTATTTATATGTGTATATCAGGGGTCTCAATCACAACGTTACGTGTAATAATTGTGGAGGGAAATTAAATGCTCAGTGTTTTTTTGGTGTTCCCAAATTCTCGTTTTGCTTCTACTAGTAATTAGTTTTTTTTTTTTTTAGGGATACTAGTAATTAGTTTTCGTCAGTTGGATATGTCGTGACGGGTCTTGAATCTTTTACAAAAGGGTATGTTGTATGCGTTATTTCTTTACTAATTCTGATTAACAAATCTGACGCAGTAAGTTTTGTAATTATGCGTTATTGTCTATTTACTCTCTATTTTCAAAAAATGAACTTCTGGACGCAGTAAGTTTTTTATAAAATAATTGATTTCAATAAGTCGAACGGTTGAAAGAGTATGAATGTTATTCTCTTCTTTACACGCACCTTCAAATAAAATTTTGATCTCACGATTTAACCAACTTTATTTTGACGAGACAACAACAATGCAAACGTCACGTCAGCGCATGAATTAACAAATTGAAGGAAACAACGATACATTTTAGGTACCAAATATAAATATAAAAAATACGGGTACTAAATTATAATTTGTCATTTGGATCATGCATCAATCCATTAATCCATCAATTCAATTGGATTTGGATCAAATAGAATGAATTTAAATTTATTGGATTAAATAAATATTTTGGTGGATGAATTGGATTGGATTAGAATTAAGACCTCCTTATTAAGACAAACCAACTATCGATGAAATTGAGTACTAAGAATTTCGTCAGATTTTTTTTAATATATTCCGGGTGGAACTCTATGGTGACAAAATCGACTAACCATATACGATTCTCGTTTTTGTTTTTTGTGTGAATTATATGAAGATTCTATTGATTCCATATCAGATTCCTTTTTGCCGACTCCTTTTGTCATGTATAGTTTTGTCTTCTTTGTAGTAGAGTGATCTTTTTGTCACCAGAACTCATTTCCTTGGGTTTTTGCAGCCATATCGTCTTATATCCGTGAGTATGTACTCTAGTCAGCTGGGTGGTTTTGGTGGATTTGTAAAATGAAAGTTTTAATATAATTAGTAGCGATCTTAGTATGTACTCTAGAGCCGTTTCCTATGAAGCGCTCTTGGTAGCGATCATCATTGCATGCTGAATAGAGTCGGTGGTGCTTTGGAAGAATGGTTTCTCAGAGCTTTCGAAAGAAGAGTTCAAGACTGCAGAATGAAAGGCTCGAGATGGAGACGACAACTGCGAAGGACGAAACATCATCCGAAACCGAAACGCCGTCGTTCCTTGGTACTGAAGTGATACCGTTTTTAATAGAGCTGTCACGATGTCGTTTTAGCCAACAATTTCCCCCTTCGTCCGAGATGGAGACGAAAACTGCGAAGGACGAAACATCATCCGAAACCGAAACGCCGTCGTTCCTTGGTACTGAAGTGACGCCGTTTTTAATAGAGTTGTCACGATGTCGTTTTAGACAACAATTTCCCCCTTCGTTCGAGACGTTGGAGATCCTGCAAAAACAAAAACAGACAACGCACCAGCAGACCAGGAATCCAAACCGAAAACATAAATGCATTCATTGAAGAACATTACAATAGGAGTAGGAGCAGGGTACACAGGGGAGATGAGAGTACAAAATATGGAAATATCGAAGATATTCCCCCCTAAAAACTTGGAACTAACTACCTAGAGACTAAAGAGACTCATTCCCCATGAACAAAAGGCTCCTAAAAAGAAACAAGAGAATAGTACAGCGAGCACTACAACCTAAGGATAGAAGAAACAGAAGGATTAGGCAGGAGGGGCAGAGGCTGCAGAGTCATCAGAGGAGGTATTGCCTTCGGAGATAGTAAACACAAGATCTCCAGACTTGCTGGATTCACCAGCAGATTTGGCCTTTCTACCAGAGGAGACCCTCTTAGCATAATGAGATTTTGGAGGGGGGCCGAGAAGAGATGCAGAAGGAGGAGGAGGAGGTAAGTCAGTAGGCAGATCAAGCACCATTAGCACGTTTAGTGCACTGACATACATTGTGGAGGAGATGCTTCGAAACTCTGATAAGTCAACTCCCAGGTTGATCAACAGACGTGTGATGATGGAACCGAAAGGTAGAAGACCTTTGTAATTTTCGTCCCCCACAGGGAGAAACTGACCAAACATGATGCTTGTGAAATCGAGCTTCCTTCTTGTTGTGGCACTGGCAATAATCCAGAGGTCCATAGGGAGAACACAATCCTGGTTAAAGGATCGAGGGAGGAAAACGTGAGTGAGGAAGTAATGGAAAATCCTCAGCCTTGGAGGTAGCCAAGAGACAGGGATTGGGACATCAGAGCCACCAGTTGACTCTGTGGAGAAGTTGTTGTACTCCACCTCAATCTTGAACTCATGCTTCCAAAACTCAGATGGGTGAGCCAGGCCAAGCCCCTGAGATGGGAAGCCGAGAATACCATTAAGAGCCTCTACTGGTATGGTTAACAGGTGACCATAAACCATTGTGGTGAATCTCCTCGAGCTTACACCAGGACTCTGGAGATTTGAGAAGAAGTATTTGACAGCTCCTGGACAAGCAGGATGAATAGGTTGTCGAAGAATAAAATCCCACCCAAGCCCTTCGATGAGAGAGATAATGTCATATTTATAGACATTAAACTCATAAGGGTCAAGTTGGGTGATGTGATGTAGCCTTCTCTTGTCAAAATGCTGGAGATATCGATGATGGTTCAACACTTTGGGCTCATGGAACATGTATCCTGAGAAGGTGTGAACCAACACATCGAAACGAAAAGGACGAGGCATATAATCACTCATTCTGGATGACTGAAGTTATCTCTGAGTTTGGATGATCTTAGTTGCTAGAATAGTGTGAGGAGAAGAGAAGAGAAGGGAGAAGGTTTATATAGGCTGAGAGAAGAGAGGAGAGGATGGAATCCGAAGAGTTTCCCGCAGGAAAAAGCAAGGAAAAGTGTAATGATTAGATGGCAGCTTCCATGGATTTGTCTTGGAACAATGCAAGCATGAACAAAAAACGTCTATTGGCTATATCAAGACACGCCAAATATGTAGAGTGGAAGAGAGGGCCAATCAAGATTTAGTGAGAAAGATTTCTAATCTGACATGCAGATTTGAGCCCTAGTTCCGTGCAAATTTGCAAGAAACGTTCACTGGGGAGAGGTTTGGTAAATAGGTCGGCTAGTTGTGACTCAGTCGAAACAAACTGTAAGCATATGTGTCCTGCTTGGATTAGATCTCTAATAAAATGATATTTTATTTCAATATGCTTTGTTCTAGAGTGTTGGACAGGATTTTTTGTCATACTAATTGCGCTTGTATTATCACAGCATATTTGAATATCTTTGAAATTAAAACCATAATCAGACAACTGGGCTTTCATCCGCATAATTTGAGCACAACAGCTTCCAGTCGCCATATATTCAGCTTCAGCTGTTGAAAGAGCCACTGCCCCTTATTTTTACTAAACCATGAAACTAAAGCAGGTCCAAGGAATTGAATAGTTCCTGAAGTACTCTTTCTATCCAGTAGACTTCCTCCAAAGTCTGAATCATTATAGCCAACTAGTTCAAATGAATCAGAAATTGGATACCAAAGCCCTACATTGATTGTTCCTTTTAGATATCTGAAAATTCGTTTGACAGCTTCAAAATGGCTTTCTTTGGGACTTGATTGGAATCTTGCACACAATCCTACACTAAATTGAATATCAGGTATACTGGCTGTTAAGTAGAGGAGAGATCCGATCATCCCTCTGTATTTTTTCTCACAAAATGCTTTTCCTCCTTCATCTTTGTCAAGTTTTAGATTTGCAGCCATAGGTGTTGGACTTTCATTCACAAAATTCATATCGAATTTTTTAAGCATAGCTTCAGTGTAACTGGATTGATTTATGAAAATTCCTGATTTGGTTTGCTTAATTTGTAATCCTAGAAAGTGTGATAGTTCTCCCATCATACTCATTTCGAATTCTGACTTCATGATTTGGAAAATTTAGTGCACATTTCATGGTTTGTTGATCCAAATACTATGTCATCGACATATATTTGCACAATCAATGTTTCTGAGTTTTCTTTCTTGATGAACAATGTTTTATCAACGTTCCCTTGGGAAAAACCTTCATTTTTCAAAAAAGTAGATAATTTATCATACCAAGCCTTAGGGGCCTGTTTTAATCCATATAACGCTTTAGACAACTTGTACACGTGGTCTGGATGATTATGATCAACAAAACCTGGTGGTTGACTTACATATACTTCCTCTTTTATCTCACCATTTAAAAATGCACTTTTTACGTCCATTTGGTATAGAGGAATTTTCATATAGCATGCATATGCACACAGCATTCTAATTGATTCTATGCGAGCTACTGGTGCAAAGGATTCTTCAAAATCAATTCCCTCTTCCTGTAAATATCCTTGACCCACAAGTCTTGCCTTATTTTTAATTACTTGTCCTTTTTCATCTGTTTTATTTCTGAAAACTCATTTTGTTCCTATGATCAAGCAATCTAAGGGACGAGGGACAAGTTCCCAAACATATAACCTAGCAAACTGAAGTAATTCTTCTTGCATAGCATTCAACCACTCATCGTCAAGTAGAGCTTCTTTATAATTCTTGGGTTCTAAAAGAGAGATAAGATCATACTGACCTGGTTGGTATTTTCCTCTGGTATGAATACCTTCGTTTAGCTCACCAATGATTTGTGAGGGTGGATGCTGTCTTTGAATGTGGGGTGGAGCCTCCTTTCTTTCTTCTTCCTTGCTTAACTCGTCGCTTGATTCACTTTTGTCTTTCTGATTTTCTTTTTGGTTCAAATCTCTTTGGTGCTCCTCAGTGCTCCCCTTTTCATTCAACATAGGAAACAAAAGTTCTATATTTTCTACAGAGACTTTGTCAGTGCTTTCAGATTCATCAAATTTTACAAACACTGATTCTTCAACCTTTCTAGTTCTTAGATTATATATTTTGTATGCTTGTC